AGTAGTATTAGAACTGATTCTTAGAAGAGATGCCTCTAGTGACAGAACTCCTAGAAGGTATTACTTACTACATATGTTTTAAGGATCCCTCCAAAATAATAATAGTACAGTTATATACTTGTTCTTAAAAGTACTAGAAGGTATAGTGTACTCTGATTGACTAGTATGTATAGGCAGAATAGTTACAGTACTCAGATAGTCTGTACTTGTCCTTAGTCTTCCTAATTCTGAAGGTAGATCTGACAGAACTCTTACACATAGTGTGTAATTATTAGACCCTTAATAGTAATACTATCTAGGATTGTACCCTCTTACTCTAGATTAACAAGACCCTTAATGATTGTCTTAGAGAGTGTATATATACTAAGATTAATATGACTAATACATTCTTCTAGACTTAGATAAACTCTAAGAATATCCTACTAACAGTAATAAACACTCCTTTTAGACTATATGAGTAGACTGTTATACTAATAGGTTTATACAATACTCTAGCCACTCAACAGTAGTAGGTCACTAAGACACTTGAGTATCTGATTAGGAACATCTGTCATGTATATCTGGACAACATTATTATCTAGTCCTAAAATGAAACAGAGTATATAGTCAATATTAGAAGAGTAATAGAAGTACTTTAGAACAAAGGACTCATCTGTTCTAGCAAAAAGACTAAGCTGTTTTGTAAGTTACTTATGTTTCTTAAACACCTTATTATAGAACAAGGTACAGAAGCCAATCCTGAGAAGGTTAAGTGAATCTTATAATAGTTGTAACCTTAGAATACATAGAATGTTTGTAAGTTTTTTAGACTCCTAAAGTTTATTACAGTATACTTATCTAAGCCAGCTGAGCATACTGTAATCCTCTCACTATTAACTAGTAAGGATTGTGACAAGGTGTTTCTAGAATAGTCTTTAGAATACTAACAGACTTTTAATATAGTTAAGAAGATTGTAACCAGTCAGGAGTGTTTTATATTAGTAGATTACTACTCTAGGGAGAACATTTATGTAACTACAGATACTTTAAACTATAGAACCAGAGCAGTGTTGAGTGTTAGAATGACTTGGAAGTCAGCCTAACCTATTACTTTCAAGTCAACACAGTACAATAGTACTGAACAAAACTACCTAGTACATAAACAAGAGTTACTTACAATTGTCTGAGCTCTTAAGAAGTAGCAAGTATATCTTCTTAGGGTCCATTTCTATGTCTATACTAATCACTGTACACTTAAGTATTTGAACACTTAGAGGGATCTGTTCTAAAGACAAGCCTAATAAGTAGAATATCTTTCCTAGTATAACTATAAGCTATACTATGTTAAGGAGGAGGAGAACACAGTTGTGAATACTCTATCCAGATACTTAGAACACAAATCAGAACTCACAAGAGAAGACCTACTAGAAGACAAGATTGTCAGATTAGTACTACAGATTCAGACAGATCCTAATCTTCTAAAGTTAATCTAGGATAACTATAATGTGGATGAGTTCTCTTACAAACTCTGAGCCAACCTAATTAGTATTTAGAGCACTTGTGAAGAAAATAAGTTACTCTACCTAGATAATTAGTTAGTTATTCCTAGAATACAGAACCTTTAGAAGATACTATACTACTTAGTACACAATGAGCTAGGTCACTTTAGAATAGACAAAACATACCTAACACTCTAAGATTTGTATTACTAGCTAAACATGTAACAGGATCTAGAGTAGAACTATCTCCTAGGTTGTAATGTGTGTTAACAGAACAAGAGTACAATGTTTAAACCAACCAGACCCCTTTATTTACTACTAGTTCTGAAGGGCTGTTTTAAGAGTATAGTAATAGATTTTATTAGGCCCTTACTAAAAGATAATAGGTTTAACAGAATAGTTATAATAATAGATTATTTTAAAAGTACTAACATTCAGATTGAACCCTGTCAGATAGATATGATAGTAGAAGACTTTGTAGAGCTATTCTTTAGTAAGTAGTATTGTAAGAACAGGCTACTCTTAGAAATTCTATCAGATTGAGACTATTTGTTCCTGTCCTACTTTTAGACTACCTTGTATAAACAGACAAGCATAAAGCTAAAGATGTTTACAGTATACTATCCTGAGACTGACAGAGCTAGCAAACACACAAATAAGACAATAAACTAGCTCCTTAGATTCTATGTAGACTAACAGTAACAGGAATAAAGGTCCAGACTTCTATAAGTCTGTTTCTACATTATAAACTTAGTAAATGTGTCTACTAGATACTCTCTATTCTAGCTCTAATACAGATCTACTCCCTACATAGTTCCACCACTTGTTCTGTCCTTAGAACTGTCAGAACCAGATACTCTAAAGGTAGAGGTAAAGGATTTTATAGTCCAGATCTACTAACAGGTAGTAGATACTTAGAACCAGCTGTTAGTAGTAAAAATACAGTAAGTCTACTATGTAAACTAGTACTAGACAGAAGAGGATTGGTTCTAGGTAGAGGACTAAGTAATGTTATCAACTTAGAACTACTGTTAGAACTACTAATCAAATACTCTAGGTCAAGCTACTAAGTTTATATCTAAGTATAATAGACTGTACTTTATTATTATAGTAAACTTAGACAAATCCAAGTATACCTTAGAACTTCTAGACTCAAATCAGACCTTTCTAAGGTTCTATTCAAACTAACTCAAGCATTATGTTCTAAACAATAACCTTCTGTTCCTAGACTAAGCCCTTATATACTCTAGACCTGTTGACAATACAGACAAAATCTACAAAGTCTCTTACATTATTGACTAGTGTTACTAAGGCAGAGATTAGTAATACCTTATTAAATAAGAAGGATAGAGTGAACAGGGAAGAGAGTGGAAATCTGAGTCTGAGCTTCAGAACTCTACTCTAAACATTTTACATGTATAGTTAGACCTTTACCTGTATAGACAGTAGTAGTAGTTTAGAGGGGGGAAGGGTGTAAGCTTACTATACAGCTTACTACAGTTCTGAGAGTTCTGAAAGTTCTGTTCCAGAACTCTATTACACAGTCTTAGACTATACACACAGTTCTAATCTTGAGCCACACATATAGTCTCTTTTCTTACTTGTACTACACATCCCTTTAGCCTGAGCCACCTTTCTTTTGTCCTTAGTATATAAAGCTTATGTCTACACCTTTATTGTACCAGTTCTTGTTTACTAACTATAACAAAGGTGTGTCTTATTATGTACTTACAGTTCTTGTTTACTGACTATAATAAAGATACCTTTGTCCTGTCAGTCCTTACATGTCCTACAACCTTTGAGCTCAGTGTTCAGCACTCTACTAGTACTGTTCTATATACACATTAATGAGAGTATACAACTAATAGTCTTAGACAAGACTGACTCAGCTCTACTGTAAGATATTAAGTCTTATACAAAACACAATAGTCTAGAAGGAGCCAGCCCTTCACATTGTGCCTCCCCTACTATTACACACACACACACACAAGTACACATTCATTTCCTTGTTACAAATACAATAAGTAGTTTAAAGATGTACTTATTTTTATAGATTATAATTGTATACTAATCCTAATTACACTTATTTATACACCTACCTACAACATTGAGACTGTAGTAGAGTACATTCCTGCTCAGCCACCCAGCCTAACACTCAAACACCTGTACTCCTACTACAGTACTAATACTGAGTAGTCACCCTCTAGCTTAAATGTACACTATACACAGTATAGCTACTAATACTTCCCTCTTAATCAAATCAAGGATCCTATGTAGGACAATAGGTCTAAACCCTATACTTTGCCTATTAGACTCTTCTCCTACACCTTCTAAGAGTGCACACAAACATACTCAACTGTAAAGGCACAGTTCACACACATACAAAAGGACTACTTAGATACTACTACTGTCCTAACATACTTTATACAGTCAACACACACATGTGTCAACTGTAACTATATTGCTACAAACAAACAGATATACAAGTGTCACACAAACTTGAAGGATGGATGCTAGAGGTACACTGATAAGTGGCCAACCCTAATGTCTAGTTTCTTCCCCTAATCCATTTTTTTATACTTTATTTTCTTTTTTTCTTTTAATTTCCTCTTTATACTAGGCACAGTAACATTCTGATCCACTCCTTCTCTTTCATCAGAGTAGTGTAGTAATGCAGGTCTTTATTCTTTCTTCATACCTGCTAGTAACCTTCTAGTAATTCCCTAAGGGAACAGAACAGAGCTCTGCTCCAGTCAGGCTATTTTGTCAGCCACAGTCAGGGAGTGTTTTATGTAGTGGTTTTTGTGTCATGTATTTTCTTTTCTCTAAAAATGAAATTGGAAACCTCCTACCTTCACCATCTCCCCAACCCTCTGCCTCTAACACTATGTCATCACTTCTGTTCTCTGAGTCTCTAGTAAAGTCCTCTGCTTACAAGTGTCCTACTAGCAGGCACTCTGCCTACAACAACATAGGTAACAAACATTACTACAACTCATCTCTCCAATCTGCTGTTACAATGCCTGTGCTGAGCCTCAGATCCTGTAATGATACTACAGAGCTGACTACACTATCCTTCAATGTAAATTGTAAGCAGCCAGTCCACTTCATATTAACCTGCACAATACTTGCTCATCTCTCTCCTCCCACATTGCAAAAAAGTCCAGAGGCTTATATTAGAATATAATAGTGTAAAATATGTAAAAAAAGTAAAAAAAGTGAAATGGTATATAACTAACCTCGAGTTTTAATAAAGTACTAAAAGTTTGTATAAGATTATCATTATTGTAAAAGTACATAAGGGTAATACTTCTTCAAAACATGTGAAACGGATTATAACTAACCTCCCCTTTTTAAAAGGTATAATAAGGATTTCAGTATCTTAAAAAGATAATATATGTTTCTAATGTTTTACGGACCATACAAAGTTATTTCTTGATAACAATCTTTCCCCCTTACATCCGTTCATTATTAAAAACAAAAATCAATTATATTAATGTATTTTAAATAATACATTGTAATCTACAATAAAAAAGGGAAAATAATCTGGGAATGCATACACGGTGATGGTAGTGCACCTGGTGTGCTGGTTGACCAACGGTTCTCTGGGAGGACAAAGCTGAGAGGTGTAGAGAGCGAGTGAGAGTGTCCGTGTCTGCCGTGATGCGAATACGAGTAGGCAGAGGTTGCGATCGGATCAAACTTGGGCAGGAAACGAGTGCATTGTGGGAGTCGATTGCCAGGCACACACCTTGACCAAATCCAGACGGGCCACCAGAAAGCAAGAGCGTCGAGAGGCTCAGCAGTAATGACCGCGTCTGCGGTTGATCCCGTCCTTGTGAGCACTCTGCATCACCCATCTCAAAATCAGCAAAGTTCGCCATCTCCACTTTGCGCACGCTACTGCACGTTGTATGTGGATATCCGAACGGGCAGTCATGTAGCGAACTATCAGCAGAGAGCGAGTCGAATTCGCTGTAGTTGTCAGAATAGGTGGTAAATGCTGGTGAAGAGACACTCACATACTTGCAATAGTGCATGACGAGCTGCCTCGTCTCGTTCTTTTTCTAACAGCATTCGCAATGGAAGAGGATGAATGCGTTCTTGGGCCGTTTGATGTAGTCTTCGTCACCACGCTTCGGTCGTCGCTCGGTCCCTGCAAGTTGAATTGCGTGTGCATGTGGGTTGTATGGTTGTGCGGGTGCGGGTGCGGGTGCGGAGGTTGAAGTTGCGCCTGTGAGACAGGTTGTGAGATTGACTGGGTGAGCGTATGAGCGTGGGCGTGGGCGTTCGTGTTGGCATGAGTAGGTAACTGGATCAAGAAGATGAACGCACCACGACGGCGTGCAGCAAGGGTGAGTGGTGCACCGGGGTTGAGATCCGGAGCGTTGAACTAACTGATGTGGACTGAAGGAAACGCTGTGTCCGTGAGTGCGTGTGGCGTGCTCTGGCTACGCTGTGCAATCGGAGGAGTGGTGAACGGAGTCGTGGGTTGCAGGAGTATATATCTGGGACGTTCTGGTTTGAAGGGAGAGGGTGAAGTTAAGGTGTTGACGGACTCGGCTCAGAAGGGGTAAGTGGCGGTCCACTGCTTCTGTTCAATGCAGTGTCATGCCCGGCACAGAGGGATGTAAATGCACGCGGTATGGGCCTATCGAGAGTGATATTAATCATTGAACAAGTAGGGAAGCAGAACACGTACACAGTAAGAGAGAGGGTGGTACCATAGGAGTGGTTGTACATGGACATTGTCGCAAGCGCGTGCTCGTTGATTATTGCTCGCACTACAGAGTGGGAACTACGTGAATGCACGGAAAAAGTGAAGTCCTTCGGCATTGGTCAACGATGCAGATGCGTGAATGTGAGTTCAAAAAGGAAGACAAACGTAAAAAAGGAGGGCAACGAAGGAGAGGCAACGCAAGCGGCGGAACAAGGAGCGGGAGGGATGGAAGGGAGACAAAACGTTGGAAAGAGTAAGAGGAGAGGGGTGAGCGACTATTGCACAGGTTACTATGAAGTGGACTGGATACTTACTCTTATCATTGAAGGACGGTTTAGTCAGCTGGGTGGTGTCGTCGTAGGATCTGTAGCTCAGCACAGCCATTGTAATGGCAGATTGGAGAGACGAGTGCAGCGAGGGTTTTTGTCCAGGTTGTTACAGGCAGAGGTTAGACTTAGAGAGATGGTGGAGGTCGGAGGCAAGGAGTGACGAGAAGGAATGCGTCATTATATGCTCTCGATCTTCAGCAGCTGATTACATAATCGATGTTCGTGAAAGCATCTAACTTGTAAAAACAACAAATATTATATTTAGATGTAAAGTAAAGGTATTAATTTACTTTAAAACACAGTAAAAAGTAATTTGACATGCATATAGCTTATTAAACACACTGATATAGTTGTTACAAGTACCTAAATGTCTTATACAGTTAATATAAACTGTTTTACAAAGTGAATATTAGCCTATCTTCAAAATTACAATATAGGTATAATACTAAAGCTTATAATACAAGGTTATTATAATGCATTTAATAAATTGCATTCATCCATAGTACTTACAGAATCTTTAAATACACTAATACAGCTTATAGTAACATTATAATCACTGTGTAACCCTTACAGTTACATTATAAGGTATATAAAATGTTTATGTTATATTAAAAATACTGTAATCCAATATATTAAATCCGACTTTTTCGCGATGCAACTTTTTGTCCTTCATTCCTCCCACTCCTTGCTCTGCGGCTTGCATTGACTCTCCTTTGTTAGTGCTCCGCACTGTAGCGTAATTTACGGATACGCTTGCAGCGTATACGCTTACGCACCGTATCGTAAGAGAAAATTTTAGCTGAAAATACGGGCGTATATTTACGCGCGTATGCGTATACCATAAGTAAAAAATTTCCGTATACGCCGTATACGAGTATACGGTATTACTAAGCATATTCTCTAATTAAATACTAAGTTTGTAGTTTCTAACCTCATTTACTTTACTTATTTATATACCAA